TTGTAGCTCGTCTCTGCACTTTTTCTAGTGCCTTGATATATTTCTTTAGAACAGGCGCCCAAAATTGCACAGCATATTCAAGGTGTGGTCTTACCAGCGATTTATAAAGAGGCAAAATTATATTTTCATCCCAAGAATTTATGCCCCTATTTATACATGACAAAATCTTACTGGCCTTAGCAACTGCAGATTGACATTGCATATTGCTGCCTAATTTGTTGTCTATAACAATTCCCAAATCCTTCTCGTGTGTGGTTATCCCTAGTTTACTACCATTTAGGGTGTAAATTGCTTGTGCATTCTTAACCCCGAAGTGTATAACTTTGCATTTCTCTACGTTAAATTTCATCTGCCATTTTAGTGCCAAGTCCCCCAATCTATCCAAATCCCTCTGCAGCAAAGCAATATCCTGCTCACATTTTATTACTTTACAAAGTTTTGTGTCATCTGCAAACACTGATACAAAGCTTTCAATGCCTATTTCAAGATCATTTATAACTATGTTAAATAGAAGTGGTCCCAAAACAGAACCATGAGGGACACAATTTACCACTTTTGTCCAGCCTGGAAATTTGCCATTAATGACAACTCGTTGCACTCTATCCTTAAGACAATGCTCTACCCAAGAACAAGAATATTCATCTAGACCAATTTCTTTTAGTTTGAAGACTAACCTATTGTGAGGAACCGTATCAAATGCCTTGGCAAAATCCAAGTAAATCACTTCCACTGCAACACCCTGCTCTATACTTCTACTTACTTCTTCGTAGAATACAATTAGGTTAGTTTGACATGACCTATGTTTCATAAAACCATGCTGACAACATCTGCCTTCCTACAATCCTCCGGTATAATACCTGAAACAAAAAGAATCTTGAAAAATTAAATACAGGGGTTCACTTATTTCCCCACTTAGCTCCTTAAGTACTCGTGGGTGAATACCGTCAGGCCCCGAAGCTTTATTTACATTAATTTTCTTTAATAGCTGTAGCACCTTGTCTTGAGTTATCCAATCACAAGTTATCTGCAAGTTTTTTGCAGCAATCGTTTGCATATCTCTTGCCATAGGATCCTCAATAATATATACTGAAGAAAAATAGTTATTTAAAATTTCTGCTTTTTCCTGGTCTTCATTAGCTAATAAACCCAGTGTACCTACACTTCCATTTTTTATTTTTTTTAGAATTGATGTACTTGATAAAATTGTGGGGGTTGGTTTTGCATTCTTTGGCTATCAATTTCTCATTTTCTAGTTTAGCCACTTTAATTGCCTTTTTGCAAGCGTTATTGGCTTCCTTATATCTTAAATAGGATGCCTCTGATTTGTCTAATTTAAATGCTTTAAATGCCCTTTTCTTATTTTTAATCTCTTGTTTTACTTCTCTACTAAGCCACATTGGTTTTAATGTGTTTCTTTTATATTTATTACCCAATGGTACATACTGAGAAATGTACCTTTTTAATATTTGTTTGAATAGTTTCCATTTATCCTCAGTGTTTTTATCACTGAGGAGTTTATGCCAGTCGATATGTAGTAGAGCTGTCCTAATCTTATTGAAATTGGCTTTTTAAAAATGATATGTTTTAGTATACCCCACTTGCTTTTGCTTTTTTGAGTTTATTTAAAAAATTACCATATTGTGATCACTATTTCCCAAATGCTCCCCTACTTGAATGTTGGTTAAAAGATCAACATTGTTTGTTATAACGAGATCCAGACAAGCATTCTTTTTAGTTGGTGCTTGCACCAGTTGTGACATGAAGGTGTCATTTAACACATTCAAAAACCTGATTCCCCTTACTGAAGTACTAGTACCTCTATCCCAATTTATGTCCGGGTAATTAAAATCTCCAATAATTAACGTGTTACCCTGATTTGCAGCTTTCCCAATTTGCTCTAACAGCTGTTCTTCCTTATTAATATTTACATTAGGTGGTTTATAACTAATCCCAACCAATAATTGATTTCCCTTTGTTTGCCCCAAGCAGATATCTACCCATAAAGCTTCCACATTTTCCTCGTCACACTCCACATGCCTAAGATTTGACTTTAACTCATGGTTGACATATAAACATACCCCACCACCCTTCTTGTTTTTCCTATCCTTCCTAAATAACGTGTACCCATTTAAGTTAAGTGCCCAGTCATGTGTCTCATCCCACCATGTTTCTGTTATGCCTATTATATCATATTGTTTAGTGTATGCTATTGCCTCTAGTTCCCCCATTCTGTTATATAGGCTCCTTGCATTAGTAAGCATACATTTAATATTATCATGAGTCTTTTGTAGTTTTTGTGAATTATCAATATTACATACCTCCTCTGTTCTGAGCTTTCCCCTCCCCCCCATCTCCACTCCCTTTGTTCTGAGCTAAAGCCCATCTCATTTCTATCCTATCTCCATTTTCTAGATTGCTTTGACCCTCCCCCCCTACTACTAGTTTAAAATCTCCTCCAACCTTCTAGCCATCCTGTCCCCCAGCACAGCAGACCCTCTTCTGTTTGGGTGCAATCCATCACGACTATACAGGTTGTACCCAAGCGCAAAATCGACCCAGTGCTCTAAAAACCCCAAACCCTCTTTCTTGCACCAAGACTTTAGCCACCATTGACCGCTCTAATCTCCTGCTGCCTTTCTGCTGTAGCGCACGGCACAGGTAATATTTCTGAAAATATTACCTTGGAGGTCCTTTTCTTTAGCTTACTTCCTAGTTCCCTGAACTCATTCTTTAGGACCTTCCATTTTCCTCTGACTTTGTCATTGGTACCAATATGGGCCATGACAGCTGGGTCATCTTTTTGTTTTATTTACATGTTATATATGATACTGTAAATTCCACATAATACATATATAATAAGTAGTACTCTAAACACCAAAACAATTTTAGCTTAATAACGCAGATTTGGTATACATTCCATGCCCCTGCAGCCGCACTGCTCAAATATCTGCCAGTCAATTAGGAGTTAAATCACTTTTGTTCCTGCTACACCTCCACTGGTTGTGAGTCACAAAGCCTTCATGAAAGAAACAGCTTAATTTTTAATCAGACCTTATAGCACAGTTTGTTTTCTTAAACAGTTATCCTGATATGTCAATTGGCCTTTAATCCTACACATGAGGCTATTAACAGAGCAGGAGATAAGAAATTCTAAATTAAACACACAGTGAAGTGTAGGAAGTGCAAAACTTAGATCCCTCTTTACAGGAAGTGTGTAAGGAGGGTTTGTAAGTTACAGCCAGGGAAAGTGTGGCTAGGGCTGCATAAACAGAAACAAAAGTGATTTAATTCCTAAATGACAGATAATTGGGCAGTGAGGCTGATCTGTACACAAAGTGGTTTTGGTATTTGCCCATTTAACTACAACATTTGTGTCTACATGTTTTGTGTGAGGGAAGAACCAACCACAAGTGTAGCATCTTGCAATTTTATATTTTTTATAAATTGTGTAAGCTCCATTCCACAGATATTCTTTACACTGTTTCTTTACTATCTATGATACACTGTTGAATAAGTCAGTGCTTTAGCAAATAAAGAAGGCTTTTAATAACACATATTTTGAGCTCTGTGTTGGCAGACGGTCTATGCAATGTGATGTTGTCACTCTGGCAGGAAAAACTATTTAAAGCTCCATGAAATTTATTAGAAGTGAAATGAGTCTTTTATTCCTCCAAAAACAATTTACAAAACATGGCCACACGCACCCAACAGAGCTAGTACGACACATGGCAACTCATTTTATAACTCTGCAATGCCACTCCAACATATGTCAGCAAGTGATTGACAACCATATTCTGCACAGTAGCATATGTATGCAATGATTATAACAGCTGTAAAATACCCCTGTGTCATGTGTGCAGTGCTAGAAAACCCCCATAAATAACATTGCCGCATACAAAGATTCAGTGACACAGTTTATTTTATGATTCTACAATAATGCGATGTAATAAGGGCAGGGATGAATATTTATCCTACATAAAGGATGTTTAAAATGTTCACTGGCCTTGTATATTCTATTCACAAGGTGAGGTCAGTCCATTAGCAAAGTTGTACCTTTTTGTCTCAGAAAATACATTTCCTGTGCAAGGTAGGTTAAAGGGACACTATAGTCACCGGAACAACTACAGCTTAATGTAGTTCTGGTGAGTATAATATCTCCCTTCAGGCATTTTCTTGTAAACACTGCCTTTTCAGAGAAAAGGCAGTGTATACATTGCCCCTAGGGACACCTCCAAGTGGCCACTCCTTGGATGGCCACTGGAGGTGCTTCCTGGCTCAATGCTGCACAGTAAGCAGCCCTGCCGTTCAGCATCCCCATGGAGACGCTAAATTTTCCTCATAGAGATGCACTGATTCAATGCATCTCTACGAGGAGATCCTGATTGGCCAAATCGGCATTTGGCCCCACCCCGTGCCGATTTTAGCCAATCCAATGCTAATAAGGTGAGTTTTAAACTTTTATAGAGGGGGGGGGGGCAAGCCACCTAAATGGTGGGTTTAGCACTATAGGGTCAGGAATACATGTTTGTGTTCCTGACCCTATAGTGATCCTTTAACAATTTGCCAGATAGTATGGAATGCTCTTTGGACCAAATTAACATTGTCATTTCTGAGTTTTGCAGAAGCAGAACAGGGAAGAGGGTGGGGTGAGATGATGTACATGTGTTAGGGGTTGAAGAACATTTTTTTTTTGAATATGTTTATTGTTTCTATAACATAAATTCCATTGCAAACATTTTTTTTTTTTTATGTTAAGCAGTCAATCGCCTGCGCAGAGGCGCTGTTATTGATACATGAATTAGTCAAAGTAATCACGTCATGACATTTTTTTAAGGGTACATAAATTTTTCAGAATTAAGTACATTAGTTAGCATGCATGGTGTGAGAAGCGAGACTCAATATAAGGTTGCCTGCGCAGAGGCTCAGTGTTATATAAAATCATAGTTGCATATGTGCCTGCGCAGAGGCTGATTATAGTTGTACCACACAATATCAATCATCTGTATGTTCCATGGTTGTAAAATCTAAACCGTTGACACGCGATGCTTATTGTCTTGTGTTGTCATTGTTAACCGAGCGCCTTCGCTGAAGCTTGCGCGATCGCTCATACGAGATGGGCGCATTATGTGAAGCGTGCAGATATGTGTGTTGCTGGTTGACAGGCAAAATGTCAGGAAAAACTAAAGCGCGGTTCCGTGCGTCTGGATAATTGCGCCTATGCAGCTATTTCGTCATCCGCTTAAGTTGTGCTTAGTGTGCCTGATGTGTTTAAGATATGCATCGTGTGCGCGGTATCAAATGGTCAGAGCAGTACATTAAATCGACTAATCCGCAGACAGTGGCTATGCGTCAATAATATCTAGCAACAATACATTGAGTTGTGTGTATTTTAGCCAGCATGTAATAGCCTGTATAAGGTGCCGTGCGCGGGGGGCTGTATTTATTTATTCGATTTAGCCCGCGGATGGCGCGTCCTATAGAAGCCACAATAAGTGTCATATGAGTAACGGCAATGCAGGTGATTGAACCTAACTATTTTGCGTCCATGTAGCTCAGGTATTTAATCGAAGCAGGTCTTCGCTATGGGCTAGCTTTATACAGGTTATAGTGTAATAAACATTAGGCAATAACTGTGAACCAACCCTCATGGGGTAATGCAAAGCAGGAAACCATAGGAACAAGGTGTATCTTAAGCTGGGTCTATGCAAAAGAGTATATCTTATGTGCAACGGCTTATGCACAAGGTAACAGTAGCGTGGTTAGCCCTAGAAAAATAGAGTTAGCCTTTTAGCATATAAGTCACTTTGCTGGAGGGGGCGTAATGGCGCCCGACACGGGGAAGCCTTCCGCTGTACCCCCCTTGCGACTCTCCGGTTCCCCCGGGTGTGACAGTCCCCTTCCCTTTCCATCCCAAGGTGTGCGTCCATGTCTTTAGGGGGCACCACCCCCGCTGTGGGCACTCAGAGACCGGGGCTTTCCGGCGGCCTCCCCACCTTAGAGTCCGCCGGGCTCCCGCCTCCTGCACCTCCCCAGCTTCAGCAGGGCCTCCCTGGGGCCTCCGCCCTGTCTTGCCTCATCCTCCTCCGGCCACTTACATGTTGCCGGCGTGTGCCCTCCGGCCACCGGTCCGCCGGCGGGCCCGTGCTTCTCAGCTCCATCGGGCTCACAGAGTTGGGGGCTGTTTCTTCCCGGACCACCACCCAATCCGGGTTTCAGAGCCGGCTCTCCATCGCCACGTCCGCCGCCCACGGGGGTCCAGTCGTGGGTCCGCCGTCCCGGGGGTCCCGGTGTCTCAGCGCGGGGTCTCTGCGTGTGTGTCGCCCCGTAATGCTATGTGGGTACTGTGTACCCGTCGGCCATTGTAGCTCCGCATACAGGAGTGTCGTGTGCCGGGCGTGCCTCCTCCTCCAGCCTTTCGAAGTTCTGACTTTGGGCCGGGATCACCCCCCCGGCCAGGTGGGGGGGGAGCGGGGCCGGGCCAGGTCTCCCGCGTCTTACTTGCGCACCGTGGGTCTGTCTCCTGTAGGCCTCAGGCGTCGTTTTGTGAGCTGGGTGGTCGATATGTGCTCTGGCGTTGCACTCCCCGGTTCCTCTCCGCCTGATTTCCTCTGTGGATTCGGTTTTCAGCAGGTACCCCGCGTTTTTTAGGAGTTTCGGGCTGTTTTAGGCTTTGCTTTGCCGGAGCCGGCGTGGGTTGCAGCCGTTCAGCTCGGCGGCCCCGCCCCGCCCCCCTGAAGAACATTTTTAAAGAAATAATGTTTATTTCCTACTTTAGATTGGGCCTTTAAGGGTTTTTTTACTACCTGAAAATGCCTTATTGTGCATATCTAAATAGTCCCCTTCCCCTCCTGCTTACTTTGAATCCAGTACCAGGCAAATTTCCCGGCATTGGCCTTCCTCTTCCATCTAACATCTTGGCAGCCCCTGCATTGCCCAGTCACAGGCTTCTCATAGACCGTTTCGCTGGCTCAGAGCGTAGGTGCTGTGTGCGTTAGCGACGGATGTAAAATATACACAGAATAGACATTAGGTAGCCTGGAACAGAGTACTGGGCTGCCTAAGCCACATTTGCCAGGGTGGCAACTTACCCCTGGCACACAAGTGCAATTCTGTATGTGCAGTGTTTTAAGCAGAAACACTGTACATCCTGACACCTATCCTCATGACCACTTCAAATCACTGAAGTGATCATGGCGGTTGGAGTAACCCTTTACGTTCTTTCCATTATGTAATGTAACTGGGTCATGTGTCAATCAGGTCACAAAATATCTTAGCCTAGTAATAGAAGTCCAGATGAGAATTAGTAATATATATGGTATATGGGAAATGTTTCTTGATTAGCTTGAACAACACCAACATGTGGTTCAAATGCATGCAATATGGATATCCATTGTCCTGGACCTTGGGGCTCAGCAAAAAGCTGCAAGTAAATGCTGGGGGACTCCAGGGAATTGATCCCATAAAGCACAGAGCAAGCTCTTCATTAGACGTGTTCGCACTGAGCTCAGCATACTGAAACATCATTGTCTGTATAGACCACCGTTAGTTAGCCGGCCTGCATGATTGGCAGGTAGCCTGAAATGCATAAACGCCAATCTGACCTTCTAACCCTTCGGGCAGACCTGCACCCCTCTCCAGGCTGGTTCGCCCCAAGATTAGCATCACTGGCCAACCTCCTTTTACCCCAACTACGGACGTCCTGCTTCACAGGAAACCGATATTGGGAAGTATGGATTTGGTTGGGAGATGAAAGCGAGAGATTAGCATAGGGTATGTGAATTCTTATAAATGATTCCTGTGTTTTCTGTCGATAAAATTCTGTAATTGTCAGTACCAAGCCCAATGGGAATTTAATTCGGCCCTGCCCATACTGTATTAAATGTTATCAATGTCAACATCTGCATATTAATAATAAACATAGAATGTAAAATGTATAATCCAAATGATATATGAAACACTAAAATGATACATTGGATTCACAAGTAACATTTAAAGATCAACAGAATGAAAAGCTTGTAGATATGATCACAAAGCATGTCTGGACAGGCTCTTTAAATGCAAACATTTCACCTAATATAATAAAACTGACAAGTTAACTCCATGTATTGTTACCCATGCTTAATAGGTAGACTAGGCCCCAGAGATTTGTTTTGGGTAACAATGCAGTTATTGGATTACATAGGATTAATAAAATCAATCTATTTCTCTTCTGATTACAAGATGTCGTGCAGCGAGACAAAACTTTGATTCCTTGGGTTGTTTTTTTTTTCCTAGTTACGAGATGTCTATAAAAAAAAAAAATAGAAACACAAAAATCAGTCCCAGAAGGCACAGAGAAAAAGCAAAAGGAGTCAGCAGGGGTCAGTCTCTCACAGAGCTAGTGGGAGAAGTGTAGATTCTGATGACCTCCTTCTCAGTTCGTGGACCAATTAGCTGCAATTCTGCCTATTAGTTGTGGAAAATGCAGAACAATTATAGAAAAAAAAAAACACAACAGCTTGCAAGCAGCAAACACAGCAGAGACTGAGCTGCCAATCATCTCTATACCCTCTATGTTCCAAGCACACAGCATAGCAATGTTACAGTCACAGATGTCCTGTTTCTCCTTTTGTGCTATTTAAACACATTAAAAAAAAAAAAAATTTAAAAAAGAATTAATATATAAGATCTATTCGTCTACTCGTGTAAGTTCTGCAAAATATTAATCAAAATTTGTAAACTGTGATTAAGTCAGTGACTTTTCTGAGAAATAGCTTTAGGGAAAAATAATGTTTCGCTCATTACAATTTTGTATCGTCTGTAAAACCATTGTCAGGGTAATGGCTATATTTTAGTTAAAATGATACCGACATTCATCAGCAGAAAAAATAGCACGAAAACAAACGAGGGGATATTATAGCCATGCTGATGTTTTAATCAAGCATGCTGATAAAATAATACATACTTCGAGGATTTGTTGAATACATTCAGAATGCATTATTGAGTCATCTGCCTGTATTTTATGGAGAATCATTACTACTTTCAAGAATGATTTTTTCTTTCACCAAAATTAAATGAATGAATGACTGAAGCAGCCATTTTTGCATTTAAGAATCTATTGCATACCTTTCAAGTGTCCTTATTTAGGAGGGGAAGTCCCTATTTTGGCCCCAAATCCTTCTGTCCCTCTTTTCTAAATGTTCCTCTTTTTAAGGATCTCCATATTGTTGGTGTGTCTGAGTGTGTAACAGCGCTCCACAGCGATAATACTCACAATACTCACAGTTTACTTTAAACTACAATAATTGGGTTTAAAAATTAGTCTATTTAAAATAAAATGTATTCTTCTTGTTCTAAGTAGCATCAAAGTAAGCTAAACAGTCCTGCCCCAAGCCACATACCCCATCACACCTCTAAAATTAAAGCAACCATTTCTGTCCATTTAAAATGTTAGAAGGCATGATATTTTAGAAATTACAGCTTTTTTACTCATTAATGTAATTAAAACAAATATTTTTTTAAACTTTTAAAATCAAATACAGCGATACACCTAATAGGGTAAAGTGGAAGTCATTCTTTTTAACGACCGGTGCATGTAAAGGGTAGCCCGTAAGTTCAGTTTTGCTTTGGTTAGTAACTGCATTTATAACGGGCGTTTCTGTTTAACAATGTAAGTCTCATTCCTCAAACTTATATTTGACATCCTATCTTGAGACTCTGGCCATTCATGCCGGCAAAGAGTTAAATGGGTTCCCTGAACTCTTTTTCCAGTTTTTTGCTGATATCTGGTTTCCATGGTAATGAAGCTACTCTGGTCGTTTAGAATGGTTAATCACGATTAGTGAAAATCTGGGGTCCCTTGCCCTTGCTGGCTTCAAACTGTTTGGTGCAGAATCATCTCTGAAAGCAGGTAATCATCTCGGTTCTACAGGGGAATAATTACTCCTAAGTTTATTTAACTCAGCCCAGCACACATCTACGGTAAATAATTATTTCCACAGGAACACTGCTACTGCAAATGTTACTCTACTTCCACACAGGGACACCTATCAGGGAAGCAACATATGTTCACATATATTTATCCGTATGCTATGAAAGATCTTACGGAATTTCACAATCACACATGTATATGTCCAGATGTCCAAATACTAATCTCTGATATTTATAAATGACATGGACAAGGTACAATCTTGACTTAATGTAATAATGTCCTACTATGACCAGCAAGAAACATCACTAAGGTATGAATTTTGGAGTAGTCAATGTCAAGGTCAAAATTTAGGCCAAAACCGCTGACTAAAATTTGAAAACCACTTGAATTTACAACAATTCACACATTAGTAGATAACTCTGTCTGTTTCTTGCATAAACATTTCAAGTGCTATAGGCTAGACGCAGGCATAGGCAACCATTGGCACTCCAGATGTTGTGCACTACATCTACCCTGATGCTTTGCTAGCATTATGGCTGTTAGAGTGTTATGGGAGAAGTAGTTTACAATAACTGCAGTGCTGGAGGTTACCATTCCTGGGCTAGCGTATAGTGCATGGGTCAGCAACCCATGCACTATACCCTAGCCCAGTGGCTGCCAGTGACAAACAGGCTCTGGCCTCTCAGGAGTCCCGGCGGGACTTCAGGTATCTGCTAGTGCAATCCGAGCGGTGATTGCAGGTGGTGAGGGATCTTCACTTCAATTTAAACATTGCAGCACTTAGAGGAAGTGGTCTCAGATCACTTCCCTCCCACACTTGTGAACTGGAGTAGAGCACCCCACAACAGCTCCAGCCTTTCACCTGTACCTCACCAGCCCATTCCACAGGGAAGCCACCCACATTGTTAGATATACACAAAGCTGCAGAATATGCCTCCTCCTCAAACATTAAAAAAATACCCCTCCCCCCCCTCACACACACACACACATTCCCCACAACAACACAAACAGCCTTTCACATGCAATGCCACAAGCAGCCCCACACATATACACACCACCAAACACACAATGTGACATATCATCCACACTCACAATTCCACAAGCAGCCCCCATACACAGCTCACATTCACAGGAATCATAAACAATACCACAAACTACTCATCAACATATACGATGTAACAGCCCACATACGCACAAATTCAATGCTAAAAAGCAACTGCAGCACCCATACACATTGGCGTGCGCAGCCTATTGCATTAACGGTTTGCCCAAACACACGCCGCATGTATGTATGTATAATGTTTCTTGGCACTCGCCCTTTCGTGTAAATAATCCAATTTAGCCTAGGTGCAATCCCGCGTTGACGATATATAAACAAAACAAAAGAGATGCACTCCAAGGACTTAATAAGTGAAAAAAAGGGGTAATTTATTCCAATAGGTATTGCATCAAAAATTAGCCGACGTTTCGACCCATTCGGGTCTTTCTCAACCTTGAGAAAGACCTGAATGGGTCAAAACGTCGGCTAATTTTTGAGAAAACTGAGAAAGACCCGAATGGGTCAAAACGTCGGCTAATTTTTGATGCAATACCTATTGGAATAAATTACCCCTTTTTT